CAAGGCGCTGGTACCAAAAGGCCGACAGTCTGCTCAGAAAGGAAGGCTTCAAGAACACCAAGCAGGATCAGTGCATCTATATCAAAACAGCACCAACGGTAACAGTTTTCGCCTTATATGTTGATGATTTTTATTTATTTTACAATGACGAGGCGCAGAAAGCTAGTTTGCTGAAAGCCCTTAGTGCTGTGGTAACCATCAAAGATCTTGGGGAGGCCAGGAATTGCTTGGGTATGGTAATTGAACGAGATATGGAGAAAGGCACTTTGAGATTACACCAGGAGGAATATTTGGACTCAGTGTTGAAGAGATTCAACATGCAGGACTGCTATGGTAAAGCTATTCCCCTGGATGAAAAATCAAAGACGTACGATCTGGAAAAAGGTTATCAAAGAAGATTCGAATACGAATATATTGTTGTCTTGTATCTTAGCACAAACACTAGGCCTGACATTTCTTACACTGTGAGTTTTCTTAGTCAATTTATTTGCTGTTACACCAGCACTCACTGGGATCTGGCCAAGAATGTTTTGTGTTACTTAAAGCAACATTCAACTCTTGCCTTAAATTTCACGAGGAGGAGTGATCCTAAACTCTCGCTTGTGGGATATTCAGATGCTGATTGGGTGGGTAATCCGATGGATTACAAGTCTTATACTGGTTATTGCTTTACCGTCGATGGAAATTTAATATCATGGGAAAGTAGAAACCAAAGAACCGCTGCCCAGTCAACTACTGAATCGGAAACCATAGCACTGGCCGAGGCAGTAAAAGAGTCAATTTATCTTCGAAATTTGGTTGACAGATTGTTTGCCTGTGGTAAACAAAGGGTTCGGATGTTTTGTGACAACAAATATGTCATTCAACTTGCTGAATCCGACAATTATTATAAGGCTAGATCCAAACATTATGGTAGTGTTTTGGAGTAATGTTGTTCGTCCAGTATTTACATGGTTCACGGTGGTTCTAGTGTGGAATGATAGAGATGCTTACAGTAGTATCATCGGTTTATTGAGACCTTACCTAACGGTCCCAGACAAATACCTTTCCTTTACATTGTAGCAGCCTACCTCGGCGGTTACACGTGGAGAGGGGGAGACCTGACCATGGCTGGAGCTAGCCGAAGACTGACGACCAAACGCCCCGGGAGGGCCGGCCCGGTCCAGGTAGCCTCGTCGCCGCCCTGGACCTTTCCACCCGCACACGGTCACTATCGCTCTGCCTTCGAGATATTCTTCAACGAGGGTATTTGATGGATAGCTATAGAGAAAACCCTATTGAGATAGATGATATTGCTTTCAATCAATGGCTGGCTTCTAAAGAGCCGTTCAAGTTGGGGTTGATGACTGACGACTCACCTATGACTTTGCAAGATTTTAAGAGATATGACCTAAGTATAAAGGAGACTTGCAAGCCTAATTTAACTCAGACTTGTAAGAGTGCATACGCTGCGCCTCAGGTGATTGCTACTCATTCGCAGAGAGTCAATGCTATTGCTGGTCCTCATGTTAGAGCAATTACGGATAGGATAAAGGCATCTTTGGATCCGACCTTTTCGATTTTTATAGATAGCTCTCCAGCAGAGTTTGAAGTAGAAATGTCTAGGAGATTTCCCTTGTTGAATAGATGCTATAAGACTGAATTGGATATTTCCAAATATGATAAGAGTCAGGGAGTCAGGGAAATCAGATATTAATTGTTTGTTTGTTTCAGATTTATTAGAGAAGCGTATCAGCAAGGAGGAAGTATCAGAAGAAGTTAAAGAAGATAGGATGCGGCAATTTAATAAACTGTTGTCCGCCAAGATTAAACAAGTCAGGGGTAAAGTTGTGCCAAAAGTTTTGTTGGGGTAGTTTGACATTTCTCCCGAGAATGTTATAGACTCCGGAATAGTGGATCATAGCAGGGAGAAAGACAAAAGAAAAGAGTGGGGAAAGTAAAGAAAGCCTGTCAGCAGAAGAGAGTGAGAGTGGAGACAGTGAGAGTGGAGACAGTGAGAGTGGAGACAGTGAGAGTGGAGACAGTGAGAGTGGAGACAGTGAGAGTGGAGACAGTAAGAGCGAGGACGAAGAAGTGAGCTAATGTCTGTGATATTTTTCAGCAATTTTAATATGTGATATTTTAGTTATCTTAAGTTAATTGAATGTATGTTGCCATGTGATATTTTTATGATTTCAACGTGTGTACATATGTCCAATATGTCAACCATATCTCAACCATATGTCAACCATCTCCTTAATTTTAGATCAGATAGATTATTTTTCCATAAAACCCTTAAGTGTTTATAATTTGTCTAAAAATTTTGGTTTTCTGCCTGAGACTTTTTTCTTTAACTTTTGCTATCAGGAGCAGTGAAGTGTTTAAATGACTTAACTTCTTGTATTAAGTTTCAAATATTTTTTGACTTTTTTTTAACTTTGGCTTATCTTAACTATGAAGTAAATAAACTATGTCAAAAGTTTTACATTGGTAACCATCTCCTTAATTTTAAATCAGATTGATTCTTTTTCTCATTAAAATACTACAGTGTATGATTTGTAACAAAATTTTGATTATTGCCTCATGCCTTTGCCTAAAACTCCTTTTTAATCTTCTGCTATCAGGAGCAGTGAAGTGTTTAAATGACTTAACTTCTTGTATTAAGTTACAAATACTTTTGGTCAACAACAACATTTGTGTCTCTTATTGAATGCATGAGAAAACAATGAACAAGTAACACCCGTCTTTCATTAATTTTAAAACAACTAATCATTTGTTCTTTTGCTTGCAGGTTACACCAATAAGATGTTTCAGAGGAAAGCTACAACCTACAATCTGACTGTCTACAGAAGAAAAATTAATGAACACAGGAGGACTGTTACTCGTAAAGCCGCTGGTCTTGCCAAAGCTGCTGCCACTGCCACTGCCACTCCTGAATCTGCAGGGGACGAAATAGTCCCGGATGCTGATCCCACACCCCTGAGAAAGTCTTCAAGACATGAGGGGGTAGGTGAGTCAAATCAATTGACCCTGAAGAAACGTAAAGTCATTTCCGACTCCAGCCCTGTGCGGAAGAATTTTAAGACCCCACCTCCCAATATTTCTGAGTCACCTGCCGTGCTTAGTGAAGTCTCTGCCACACCCCATTCACCAGCAGTCATTTCTAACCACTCAGTTTCCCCTCCTGAGAGCAGGAGTCTCTCTCCAACTAAGTCTTCACCTGTTGGGTCCCCCACAACCAAACCTTCTGTCTCCCATAACAGTGCTGCACTGGCCCCAACAAGGCTTTCCCCTGGAGCCCTGAAGGCAGCAGATCATTTATCTGAATCTGTTCGCAATCCAAATTTGAATTCAACCTCCTCCCAACCCCAATCTGCTGTGACTAACCATTCACCTCAGTCTGCTTCTCCTCACCAAAACAGTCTGATGTACCAAAATTACACTACAAAAACAGATATTTTATTCAACTCCGTTCCACCCCGTTGTCCACCGACGATGCAGTACGGTTCCTGATCCATTTGAGGAAGACGGAGTTGAAAGACTTGTTTGAGAGCACTGCTCTTTCAAACCAGCGAAAGTGGGAGAAAGTTGCTGCTCGCCTGGCAGCTGAGAAGCCAGGGAATAAATACTGGAGTTTCTCCTTCAAGCAATGTGAGAGCAAATACAAAGACTTAAAGAAGAAGTACAACTCTGCAAAGGACAACATGGGACCAAACTGCACTGGATCGAAACCCATTAGATTTAATTTTTTTGGCGACATGGATGAAGTTATTAGAAACAGCCCCACAGTGAAACCCGTCAGCACTGCTAGCAACGGCTCAACTGATTCTGAGAGTTCAAGCAGTGCAGGCAGTTCCTGTGGGGAACCACCATCGAAAAAAACTAAACTTGAGAAGAAAGTTGAAACATTACTACAAAGCTTGACTGCCAAAGAGGATGACAAGGAAGCTGCTAGGGAGCGGCGTCACCAAGAGATGCTGAGAGTCCAGCAGGCATCCATTGAGGCCTATAAAGAAGTGATGGGGCGACTGATCGATAAGCTTTAAACGACTCTAGATTTGTTTTGTATTCGTTCTTAGTATAGGTGTATTTCTTTTATTAATTGTATCAATAAGATGTGAGAATGCAGCTGACATGCCTGTGCTTAGCTGTTTTTCTTTGGCATACCACTTGGAATGCAAAACAGAAAAACAACTAAGAACTGAACATGTCACTTTTGTTGCAATGTGATCCACTCTTTTTGTACCTGTTCATTCCTTTTGTTTTTCTGTTTTGTACTCCATTTGTTGTTACTTACTTTTTCTATTTTTTATATTATTGTTTTAGGATAGTTTTCAATTAATTGTATGAAACCTCACCCAGAGATGTGAGAATTCAGCTGACATGGCTGTGCTTAGCTGTTTTTCTTTGGCATACCACTTGGAATGCAAAACAGAAAAACAACTAAGAAATGAACATGTCACTTTTGCTGCAATGTGATCCGCTCTTTTTGTACCTGTTCATTCCTTTTGTTTTTCTGTTTTGGACTCCAAGTGTTGTTACTTACTTTTCCTATTTTTATATTTTTGTTTTAGGATAGTTATTAATTGTAGGTAGCTATTTTTTATATTATTGTTTTAAGATAGTTATTAATTGTAGGTAACCTTACCCACGAGATGTTGGAATGCAGCTGACATGGCTGTGCTTAGCTGTTTTTCTTTGGCATACCACATGGAATGCAAAACAGAAAAACAACTAAGAACTGAACATGTCACTTTTGCTGCAATGTGATCTGCACTGTTTGTACCTGTTTGCTGCTTTTGTTTTTCTGTTTTGCATTTCAAGTATTGTTACTTGCTTTTTTTATTTTTCTGAAGGATAGGTATTTTGTATTATTTTTGTATTGCCAAGTCAATTTAGTCATTTAAAATATACGGGTATTGTTCCTTTGCATATTGTACTGAGTAGATTAAATACATCACCATATCAAATCAGAAATCAGACTGTTTGTTTCTCCAATTTTATTTAAAACATCCAAAATTTTATTCTCTCAGAAGCCTAGGCACTATTGTTACAAGGTAGTTTCTCTTTGCCTCACCATCATTTTCAACTTCAGCATTCTCCACTACAACATCATTTCCCTGGTCCACGAGATTTCCTCTCAGATTTGCATGTGGTCTGCCTTCCCTAATGAAGTCCTCAACATTATCATCAATTCACCTGTCATCTGACAAAAGTACGTATGTCACAAAATCAAAATTTTACAGGAGCAACGTTTATTTGTGCTACAGATTAATTATAATAAATTAACCAGACATGACACCCAGAAGTGCGTTACAATTGGGTGATACAAATACTTCCACAAAAAAAAATTGACTTAAATCCAACAGTTTAGAAGATAGAGTGACATGCGCACTTTTGACAGCAAGTTGTCATCTGACAAAAGTACGTATGTCAGATGACATGCGCACTTTTGTTCAGATTATGACTGACATGCACACCTTCTGTCAGATGACGATGACATGCGTTCCTTTGTCAGATGAGACCTCTGGTGACATGCGCATGTTAGTCAGATGACAAAGACACGCGTACAGTTTGTCAGATGACGCTGACATGACCAAATAACAGGTGAGGCTATTTAGATTCAACAGATAGTACTAATTCAACAGATAGGGGACAGAACAAATGTGATTGTGGGCCCTATTCCAGACTATTATTTGCTTCTTTGTGAAGTCCCACCTTGAGATAAGGCTGTGAACTGTGAACTGGTTATTTCGCTCCACTCATAATGGTGCAATACACAATAAGACACGAAATCTCGAGCTAAAATTTGCACTAGTTGATGGCAGGCTGGCTGTGAAAAGGGTGGCAAATACTCGCGAGCCATGTCTTGGTGACTGTCAGGACGAAACACCAAACACAAGACATTCAAAACGGTAAGAACTGTCATCGACTGCCCACCATCCACTTTGTTGTATTTGGTCTCATTAGGCACACAACGGAACCGTTATCCGCACGCCCAGCGCGAAGTGCCAGTAAGCGATAGCAAGCAGAAAGGGAAAGTGGTGAAAAGATGTTTTGTTTATGGTCGAGTCGTCTGGCCGGGGCTTTGACTTTAGTGGATATTATTTGAAATTGTGTCCTTGATTGTCATCTCGGTTCTACACACAGCGAGTGTAAGTCTCTTCCACGTGGAATTCGCAAGGCGTGGTGTTGTCTTCCTTAACATTGTGATAAATGTGGTTTGCGTTATTTTTCTCCTCACTATGACAACCAAGGAATACAGTTCACAGCCTCATCTCAAGGTAAATCATTTGGGACCTCACAAAACAGCAAATATAATAGTCTAGAATACGGCCCACAATCACATTTGTTCTGTCCCCTATTTGCTGAATTAGTATCCTCTGTTAAATCCAAACAGCCTCACCTGTTGATTAAATATGCGCATGTCAGCGTCATCTGACAAACTGTACGCATGTCTATGTCATCTCAATAACATGCGCATGTCACCAGAGGTCTCATCTGACAAAAGAACGCATGTCATCGTCATCTGACAGAAGGTGCGCATGTCAGTCATAATCTGAACAAAAGTGCGCATGTCATCTGACATACGTACTTTTGTCAGATGACATATGACATGCGTACTTTTGCACCATGTCCGCCTCGGGCTACCTATGGGGAATTTTCCCAAAATTCCATTTGCACTGGATGTAGAACATGTTTCTGGTAAGTTTGGTCTTAAAAAGTGGTTTTCGGAAATTTGATGACCTACGTACTTATGTCAGATGACAGGTGAATTCCCGCCAAACCCTCCAAACAGATATTGTGGAGGACACAGCAGGCCAACACAACATGCGCAATCATGTCAACCCTATTCATGTCCAAGTACTTCAGACGTCGAAATCTTCCTTTCAGTAAAGAAAATGCCCTTTCAATAACTTGCCGTGTCTTTGCATGAACTTTATTAAAGTTTTTTTTGGCCCGAGTAAGTGCTCCGTTGTCTTTGAAAGATGGGATGAGCCAAGAGAGAACAGGATATATTTTGTCACCAATAATGTACGCATTACCTGGGAATAACCTGTCCTCCTGTCCCCTAATTCTCGCATTTATGGGAGAATTCCTAAGGACACGCAAATCACCAACACTTCCTGGATAGCTGGCAAAGCAGTCCAAGAATCTCAGACCTGCATTGCAAATCCCTTGCAGTATAACTGCATACCTCTTCTTCCTGTTGGTGTACGCCTGCGGTTCTTCCTGAGGAGCTTTGATCTCAATATCAGAAGCGTCTATAGCCCCAATAACATCTGGCATTCTCGATATTGAGAAAAACTTGGCTTTCATTCCAGGTATTTCTCTTTCCTGCGGCCATCTGATGACTCGCCCAGATATGCTGCAGAGACTTCTTACAACCCGCATAAAGGAGTCATTAGCAGAGGCCTTTCCCATATCAAAACGGTCCCCAACAGACCTGCAGAGGCAGAATAGTAAAAGTATCACAAAACTGAAAGAGGGGTTATTAAAAGGCATTACTATCTTGTAATAATTACTTACCTGTAAGAGTCTGGGGTGGCCAATAGCCACAGTGTACACAGAATTTGCTTGCGAACGGGTATGGTAGAACGTCCCAAATTGTCCTGTTTTACCAGAATGGGACCCAACAAATTTTCTAGGCCTTCAAATACTTCAGGCACCATTCTGAAATGCTCCCGAAACTGATTTGAAGTCATTCTCGGCACAGTTTCATCTACATAACCTAAAGCCCGAACCGGTTTTTCCTTCGTTTCCCTTAATTTCGAACAAAGTAACGTCATCATAAGTCTCACTGCGTTCAATACTTCTTCATCATCATCATCCACACCTCTTAAACACCTGACATTTTGTAAAAGCTTTTGACTTTCGGAAATAGCAATTGTAACTTTCCTCCTAACGTCCATGGCAGCCGACAGAAACGTAAACAATAACTCCCTCTCTGACTCGTTCGAGAACGGTGGTATCCCTCCGCTCCCTCGGCGCCCTCTTACCCCCTCCACTACCGTCCCCCGACCACACCTCGGGGGGAGTTCTCGAACGCAACCCCGGAGGCGGGGGCCCGGCGCGCCGTGGCGTGGCGCGGTATGCTCCCCGGAGGCGGGGGCCCGGCGCGGCGTGGCGTGGCGCGGTATGCTCCCCGGAGGCGGGGACTCGGCGCGGCGGCGACGGGCGCGTCCAGTGCGCGGCGCACCGGCGGCACGGCGGCGTCCGGCTCCCTCGCGGCACACTGGCACGGGGGCGCTCTCCTACCCCCTCCAACCTGAGGGCGTAGCATCTCCATCACACGGTTCTTGACCAGCATGTATAGCTTATGAATTGTCGGATCTGATTCTTGTCGAAAGATGAGCTGTCTGAGGTAGGCTTTAGACCCCTTCTCCGGAATACGTAACAGATCGGGGTCCTTCGGTATCTCCCACCACGAGTCGGTAATGATCAACGTGCTAAGGCTATCCAACAGGGCCTGGAATGCCTGTGCCCTGTACTGCTCAGGTTCGTATAGGCCATTTCTCCAGTTGTCAAGGAGTTCACTGAGAGGCAACTTGTCTGCCATGGCCACGACCGACAGTTTCAGGCGGGCAAATTTAACTGAGGACTTTGATCTTGTCGTCTGGTGGACGCGCAAGGACTACATCACCCCTCCCCCCTTTACCGCGCCGGGCGCATGGCGCTAAGCAAAGGACCAGGGGGTGAAAGGGGTGGAGAGGAAAGAGCGAGCGACGAGGGGTCCTGCTCGGGCTCGGACTTCCTCGGCTCGGCCGAAGTCCTGCTCGGCACTCAGCAGGGGACCAAGGGGGAAGGGGATGGTGGGGCACGTGCGTGGGCGGGTGGCGAGCACAGGGTGCGGGGAAGGGCTCGGCGAGCGCCGTGGTGGTCGTGCTCGCAACTCCTCGGCGCGGCCGAAGTCGTGCTCGGAGCTCTACAGGGGGCCAGGGGGGAAGGGGTAGGTGGTGGGCGGGTGCGTGCGCCCGGCGGCGAGCACAGGGAGGGGGTGGATGCTGCCGCCGGGCCCGGCGGACGACTCTCTGCTGAGGGGTTTAAGAGGAGGACATCGCGACCCGGAGAGTCAGTTGATTTCGATCATCCATTACACACTTACACATGCAAGAAAATGTCTCCTCCCCGCACCAACACCGTTGCTCAGAAGACTGCTGCACGAAAGCCTTATGCAAAGAAGAATATTCGCATGGTTGCGAAGGTACTGCCAGACATGGACGTCACGGATGGGCCGGATTCGTCGCCCATCCCTTCCTACCAGCTGGGGCCGTCATCACCAGGACCCTCCTATCAAGGGAGGGAAGCCGCAGCCGGCATGCTGGCCGACATGGGCGTTTCGTCCATGGATTTGACGGAGTTAACCAACATGTCCGGGCTGTTGGACTTGATGGACCAACAGACAGTGCTGAACGCTGAAAACACCATAGCTCGCCTGCTGGAGCAGGGCGAGCGTGAGCAGGGCGGGCTGGAGCAGGACGGCGACATTGGGGTGCCTCCGGTACCCGTAGCGACGTCCACTCCCATCAAAGTGGAGGCTGTCGACAATTCGCCAATCGTGGCCGCCATGGAGGAGATGTTTCTCTGCGTCGCCGTGCCAGCGGACGGCATGGGGGACCCCATCATCCGGGTCCTTACCGATTACGTCATGCTTTGCCAAAATAAGTATTTGTGGGCTGGAGTAGATCTGAACAAGATGCTGCCCTTCTTTGAGCTGAAAGGCACAACAGCTGCGGGAACAGCGCGAAGGTGCGCATTAGCCGCGATGAGTTGAGGGTACTGTGCGAAAAGGACATTCAAGATTTCATAGCCGAAGGTATAAGGAAAGGTAAACTGGGTGACTTCATTGACTGTGGTGGGCTCCGCCTCACCATTGTCAATCTATCGGATAAGAAACAAATGTTCAATGTTAGGATAAGGAGGAAGGATATTGACACTCAGTGCATTGACTTGGCTCTCAAGTCGTGGGAGCGCATCTTTTTGTTCAAAAAATACATTGAATACTTGGCTAATCAAAAGAAAGATGCGATTCCTGTTATCATTAGGCTCATACAACAATTAAGTAAGGAAGCTGCCGAAAATTTTTTTGAGGAGGGTCATGGCTTTGCTTATCTTAACAAGAAGGAAAACGAAGTTCAAATTGTAAAATTTATGGAAGAGTGTTCAGATTTTAACGTTGAAGTTTTAAACCAACTGGGTGATGTGGACTTCAAAAAAGTATGATTTGAAATCATGTACTATTATTACGATTTTATCTTAAGTAAGATCAAGATTGAGTATAGAAATCTGGTATAAATTGTTTGTGTTTTGCTTTTGTAAATAAAAATTTATCTACCAATGTACTCCGTTGTTCTCAACTTTACCCAAAACTCCTCACGCCTCAATACATTTGATGAAGAAAAAGATTTCACAGTGAGTTAACGACACAAGATGATGCTTATTGCTCAATATAACACTCTTTGCCATCGACACTTCTTCGCTGCCGTCTTACATGGAGGAGCGACGGCGCCGCACCATGAAGGTGGCGTCGCGACGCCAGCGAGTGCTGCCGCGGCTATTTCATAAGTGAGGGGATGTTAAATCAGCACTTTGTTGCCAGATATCCTCAACAAAATGGACTGGCAGAGAGGGCTAGCGGAACTCTTTTGGAAAAAGTAAGAGCAATGCTCAAATATTCAGGATTTGACGTTAAGTTCTGGCCCCTTGCTCTGAACACTGCTGTATATTTAAAGAACATTTCTCCCACCAGTGCAGTCAATAACATGGTTCCCTATGAAGCATGGACTGGTTCTAAACCTGACGTTAGCTTTCTGAGAGTGTTCGGGTGCCTTGCCCACGCTCAACTGGACTCAGCAAGAAACTAACTGATAGAACCAAGGACTACATTTTTGTAGGTTACGATGAGGAGCGTAAGGCACATAAATTAATGGATCCTAAGACAAATGCTGTTACCTCCCATAGATTCAGTGACGTCACATTTGATGAAACTATTTTTCCAGCTTTGGGCGACTCCCCAGTAAAGCGCTCAATGACTGGGGACGTTGAACCAAATGCTCTTATATTACCTGTGGCTAACAGCTCTGGGGTGTTACCTGGCATTGCTACGGTATTACCTGGAAATTCTAGGGTATTACACTGTTTTTCAACGAATGTGACGTCACATTCGTTT